CTGTCTTCTACAAAATTTTCTCTTTCTAAACAAGTTTGACTAATTTGACCGTCAAAGGACCTTTCTTGGGAACAACCTCCCAAAACAATTCTAATCAAGCACATCGATGTCATCCAATCAACTTATAATGTAAATTAGGATTGTCTAGCTCTAGTAGATTGGAGAAAGCTTATGACAAAGTGGGATGAATAACGAAAGGAAAAATATAAAAGAAAATGAAAGAGTGGATCCTGTATCCAGTAGCTACGTTGCATTGTTGTACGCCTCATGTATTTGTTGTCGGGTAGGATAAAATCAAATGCATTTGAATAAGGTGATAGACTAGAGCTTTCATTTGCGTTAGAATAATATATAAAGAATCAAAATGAAAATAACTTTTTTTTTTTTAATAAAAATGAAAATAACTTACAAAAACAAAATGAGTAATTGAAATTCAGTCATATCATATCACTAATAAATAAAACGGATCTCCCAGCCAGGCCACGAGACAGCGATACTTGGCGAAAAACTGGAATGCCAAGTGTCGCGCCACGTATGAGATAAATAGGTATTATTGTGACACATATGATGTTAAGTAAGCGATTTTTAAATAGATTTTTTAAGATAAAATTGTTGCATAGAATTTTATTATTGATAAAATTCTAATATTACATATATACAAAATTAATCATAACTTTTAATAAATATCTTATAAATCAATTCTATTTCCATCATCAAATTCGTTTTAAAAAGTTTTTTAAAATAAGATCCATTTATAATATATTTAATCACAAACTTTTATACGTAGCTGACCGAACCGTGTCTCCAACCATTACAAAATCAGAATTACTTTGTTAGTGCTATAAGGGTTACTTGGTTAGTGTTATAATGATTACTCAATTAGTGTTATAGACAAGGGTTACTTAGTCAGTGTTAGAGGTTACTCAGTTAGTAGTACATGGGTTACTCGATTAGTTTTATAGGGGTTACTTTGTCCGGCCAGATATTGTGGTTAGTCGCATACAAAATGCATTGTTATTTAATTTACTTTTATAAAAATTAGAAAATCAGCGTAAAATAAGTTTTAATCAGTAAAAATAATTTTAGTTTGGTAAAAATACTTTTAGTTCAATGAAAATAATTTAAGTTAAATAAAAATAATTTCAAGACAATAATAACATAGATATCTATTTACAAACAAAACTACACAAAGTACACTCCATATATTATCGTATGTCTAAATATCCTACATTATTAGAACGAATTATTTGACTGTATTTAACATTCAAGTAAATATGTTATCTTAAAATTTTATCAACCATCTGGACATCACCGAGGGACAAAATTAACTTTAATCCAAAACATTGAAATAAAGAACTGCAAAATTAACTTTTAATTCCATAATCCGGTAGTCAATTTCTACTTCCACCTAACTATGACAAAATAACATGATCCCAACTTCATTCTTTACCTGAAATTAGAAAAAGAATAAATTAGTTGAAACTCACATTTTTAATGGTACAGTATTCTGTAATATATGGAATTATGGATATAATACGAATTCCACATATTCAAATAAACATTTATAATTATGAGTTCATGAGTGTAGGGAGAGAAGAAAGATACCATCCCATTGATATTTATTGCAAACTTCAAATCTTATCTTATCCATGTGCATTATTAATTTATTATCATCAATTTATTGCAACATCCACCTATTTGTATGAAACCTTAATTAAGTTATTGATTAAAGCATCAAGAAAAAAGAAAAAAAAACAGAATTTATTTGTAATCAAATTGGCCATGTTTTCTTCACCTTATTCAAATAATATATATATAAAATAATATATTTTTTTGAACAATATAAAATAATAATTTAATTTCAGTAAATTAAAAATAATTTTAATTCAACAAAAAATTTATTTAAATTTAGCAAAAATTAATTAACTACAGAAAAAGTAAGTTTTGATCACTGAGAATCATTATCTTTCAAAAAAAAATTAAGTAAAAGTACTTTAAGTTGAGCAAAAATTAAGTTTCTATAAAATAATTGCATATTAGTAAAAGTAATTCTATTTCAACAAAAATAAGGTGGAGAGAAAAAGACAGGCCATGAAAAATTGCCTCATACCCATGAACCCGATCCAAAACCTAAACTCTACCCGAGATTACTAGACCCAATTTTGACCCCATCCGAAACAACAACCAAGGAATCAATGTTTTTTTTTTTTTTTTTTTTTTTTTTTTTTTTTTTTTTTTTGAAGAATCTTAATTATTAGGTAAATTTCAAATAAGGAAAAGAAAGAAAAGCATAATTGGAAATTAATTCACTTGTAAAAGCAAAAAAAAAAAAAAAAAAAAAAGAGAAAACTTTTATTCATTTATTTTATTGAATATATTATGGCCAACAATCAGCCAATTAACATATCTTGCACTAGTATTAATATCACTCACATGGTTCATATGAGTCAAGTAAAAGCACGCAAGTGAAAAATTAAAGTTCAAAATTCAAAGTCTAGATGACTTGCCAGCAATGTCAATGACAAAGCGATAGCGAACATCATTATTAGCAAGACGTTGAAGAGCGTCGTTAATTTGGTCAGGGGTCACCATTTCAATGTCGCAACTTATGTTGTATTTTCCGCACATATCCATCATTTCTTGTGTCTCTATCATTCCTCCTGTCATGCTTCCCTTCACTGTTCTTTTTCCTGCAAATTAAATTACTCAATTTTAGCTTAATTAATACGTAGTATTTATATTGCATTTGTATACAGATCAATACAAATTATAAGGATTAGTAGGAAGGAGTTCATTTTATAACGTATGTCATTGAGGTGTTATATGAATTGTATCCCCTATACACAGTGGCGGACCCAGGATTTTCCGACTGGTGAGTCACAATGGATAATCAAATATGTAAAATTTTTTTTTTACCAAACAACCAAATAATAGTACTAAAAAATACATCCAAATATTCAAACAGTACAAAATACAACCAAATGTTCATATAATACTACAAAAGACAACTAAATAGTAATGCAAACTTATTACAATAGTTCTCGACGAGTTTTCATGTTTTGATATCGATTCATGATATCTTCCATGCTAACATTCAAAAACAAATCATTCTCCAAATAAGTAATTAAACAATCATTCAACATTTGATCTCCCATGCTATTTCGTAGTTTGTCTTTCACTTGCTTCATGCCAGAAAATACTCTTTCCACACTTGCCGTTGCGACAGGAAGAAGCAACACCAACTTCAAAAGTAAATAGACCCTATCATGAGTTTCAGACAATCCCGTTTCAACCAATTTGATTGAAAGATCACTAAGACCCTTCAAATTCCAAAACCTTTCATCTCCTCTAACAGAACAAATGTAACTATCAAGTGTATGACCAAAGACTATCAATTCTGAACTTGGAAATTCATTAGGATAGAATTTTGCAAGCTTAATCAATTTTTCCTTATCAAACTTAGAAAAACGATCCACAGGACTCAAACAAGACATACACACAAGTAGTTCTTTAGTTATTTCGGGAAATCGATTTTCAAGTTCTTGCAATTGAAGATCAATGAAACCAAAAAAAACTTCAACTCGAAAATGATGTAGATTAGACACTTGTGGGCATTTACCTCTAAACAACCTCCTCCCGGGAACAACATATTTAGCCTCCATATCTGGAACTGCAATGTCATAGTCACCAATAAAAGAAATTACCTTTTCCATATGAGAATCCCATCCTTCATCTCTCATTTTTTGCAAATTAGTCTTGGTTACATTAACCATGGCCATTGCATTCACAATGTCTTGATCGTGCTTTTGTAAGGCCACATTCAAAGCATTTGTTATCGCAAATATACTAACCATCAAGTGTGCCACGAACACAAAATCAAAGGACATCAGAAGATTTGTAAGTGTTTGAGCTCTATTAGAATCTATTGTATCAGATACTTTTGCAATATCCTCAAGAGAACCAAGGATTACAGGGAATAAATCAAGTACATTCAAGATTGTCTTGAAGTGAGATCCCCAACGAGTATCACAAGGTCTACCTAATCCACGTTCTTGATTTAAACCTGAACCCGTTTCAAGTTCAGCTAGAGACAATGCATCCACCACTCTTTGAGCTTGATTTTCACGAAGAAACTCTTTCCTTTTTGGTGAACCCCCCACAAAATTCAAGAGAGGTGCAAGTACATCAACAAATAACCAAGCACAATCTGAATTCTTTTTAGCAAGTGCAACTTGAGTTAATTGAAGTTGGTGAGCAAAGCAGTGGACAAAATAAGCTTCTTTACACTCATTCTCTATAAGAGTCCTAAGGCCATTAATAGAACCTTGCATATTACTTGCCCCATCATAACCCTGACCCCGTACTTGAGAGAAAGACAAAGAATGCTCCATTAATAAGGATTCAATAGCAGTTTTGAGAGTCAAAGAAGCAGTGTTTACAACATGCACAATACCAAGTAAACGCTCACACACTTCTCCCTTTCTATTAACATATCTTAAACAAAGAGCCAATTGTTCCTTGTCAGAAACATCAGCGGACTCATCAGCAAGGATAGAAAATAAACCACCATCAATATCTTCAAGCATTGCTTTAGTGGTCTCTTTTGCACATGCATTTATGATATCTTTTTGGACTTTAGGAGAAGTAAGTTGACAATTACTAGGAGCATTTTTTAAAACAACTTTAGAATATTCAGGATTACCTATGGAAATAAGGGATAAAAGTGAAAGAAAGTTACCTCTTCTTAAGGCACTTTCTTTTTCATCATGACCACGGAAAGGCAACCCTTGGAGTAAAAGCCATTGGATAGATTCAATTGAAGCTTCAAGTCGCGTCCTATATGAATTTGTACTCTCAGCGGTTTGTTTTGTTAAGGCTTGTGTGATGCTTGAATTTTGTTTCTTGAACAAATCCATAGCTAAAACAACATTATTATGTGCACTCAAGTGTTTACCGACATGTTTTCTTATTAAATCCGATCGATTCCATGATTTGAAACCATCACTAACAAAAGCATCACCTCCAAAGGCATTTTCATCCTTGAATAGATAACAAGGGAAACAATAGGCAGCATCCTTTTCCACACTATACTCAAGCCAAGTCCAAGTATCAAATCACTTAGCACAAAAGCGACGATTTTTGCCAAAAATAGAAGTTTGAGGAAATGTAAAGTCTTTGGGCTGACAAGGCTTTCTTTGAATGTAAATTCTTCTCACTAAATCTCTATCATCTTTATGAAATTGACTCATTTTTCTCCTCTTTCCTGGATCTTGTGGAAGATTAGCAAATTCATGTTCACTTAATCTTTCTCCAAAGATTGGGGCATTAGGAGAACATTGGCCTTGTTCATTTTGAGGGGAATTTTGAGTTGAATAATGAGATGGAGATGAAAGTTGCTCACTTTCTTGAGGTGGAGTTATAGTTTGTTCATTTTGTGTTGGATGTGGAAGAGAAGTTGGAGTAGGATTCTTTTTAGCAAAGAAGCTAGTAATGTTTTGCATTTCATTTGGAGTATGTTTTCTCTTCATTCTGAAATTTGAATAAATATTGAACTAAATCAAGCAATATTCCCCAGAAAAAATTATTTGAATAAATATTCAACTAAATGGTCTAAATCAAGCAATTTCACATAATGACATAATCACATAAACATATTACACAAAACACAATTACACAAAACAGATTTCACATAAGTAATAACTAATAAGTTCAAGAGATTTCAATAACACAAAACACAATTTTGGAAATTTTTTTGCTATTATAAAATTAAAATTTCACACCTTTAGCCTTTGAAAATTATTTCTCTTAAAGTACATACTTGCACACCAAAACATCATCACTTGCAAATTGCAATGCAAAAAGTACTCTCTAAATTCTAAATGTATATGTTTTCACAAGTACAGTATACTATTTTGCATCAAATTAATAAATATACTTCTCATATGATGAGTAAATTCAATGGCGGATCCAAAAAATTTGAAATGGGGATTCGAATATAGGATCAAATCGACCAATTACAGAAAATCAAAGTTCAGTACCATAGTTAAATTTACTATTTGAATTACACCCTACAAATTCATTTTTCACATTCTAACATTTCGCAACTCAGCATATTTTTTTAATAACTACCATATATACAATCTATGCTTTACCTATTGATTAAAATTTATAATCATTTGCAAAGAAATAATCATATTTGTAATGTACAGGGTAGTTAGCAAGTAAAACAAACCCAAAAATCATAATTGTGTCACAAAACAATACTCCCCTTAATAAACACCAAGAATCATTAGATTGTATTAAAGCAAAATTAGAGAATAAGATATCAAATCCAAACTATAAAGTATTCTAACCTTTTCCGTGAATATAAATCACAACAATTTAGCCAGTAGAAAAATCGAAAATGGCGGCAGCAGTGTGGTCAGAGCGGAGCAGGGGTTACCGACGGCTACGAGAGAGGATGAAAAGTTGAGGGGAAAATGTGCACAAAGAGAAGAAGGCTAGGGCTTGAAGTCTCCTCTAACTGATTTTAATTTTTTTTTTTTTTTTTTAAAATAACTTAAAATTTTTTTTTGGGCCTGGTGAGTCACTTGACCCACCAGGTCTAAGCCCAAGTCCACCACTGCCTATACATATTGGGTTTGGTTTGGAATCAATTATTTATCAATGCCCCACCCGAATTTAGGTTAACTAATTCATAGTTTAAATAGGTTTTTCTAACATTTTGTGCACATGATGCGTGCATGCATAAATTTTGGAATGTATGTAAGATAAACATTAATTCCATTAAATTATTAATATCATCGGATGGTAGCATGAGAAAAAGAAATTTTTGTTGAAAGTACTCAAACCAATGAATATATATTTTTGTCGCTAATTATGCTTTTGGCAAATTAATGTCAATAATTGACATTGATATTTTTGTCACTAATTATGTTTTTGGCAAATTAATGTCAATAATTGCAATTGTAGACAAATTAATGGTAGAATATCACATTCACCTTTATAACTATCAATTGAAAGTCATCTTAATAGTGTCTAAGATAATAAAGAGTAATAATCAATACAATTTCAGCAAAAATAAAGTGAAAAAACAAGTTAAATGATAGACAATTCAAACTATAATGATAGTCCCCGTCCAAAAAAAAAAAAAAAAAAAAAACCTATAATGATAGTCATTAAATTCAAAAGATATACTACTTCCGTTTTTTTTAGTTGACACATTTTGATTTTAGCATTATTTACACATCTTTCTTTGACCGTGTTTTGTGATTTATACGTAATGAAAAATATAATCATGTGGGATTTTGTTAGATTCGCCGCGAGATATATTTTCAAACTATCAACTTTTTATAATTTTTGTTTTTCGGTAATTAAAAATATTAACGATTGAAGTTGTGAATTGACAAACGTGATTAAAGAAATGCGTCAACTAATAAGAAACCGGAGAAGTAATAATTAACTGAGACATGTTGGAAAGAGTGCAGCTTAGGTGGAAGAGCAAGCATACCAAAAATGAGAGGGAAGGATGGCAAGTCCATGGGCTTGTCAGGCGCACCCACAATGTGAAGTGTTCCCTCAACTTTCAACAACTCCAAATATGGTCCTAGTGAATGGTAAGCCGATACTGTATCCAATACGAAGTCCAGAGTCCTCTTTTTTGCCTGCCACATTAATTCAAATTAATCCGAAGTAAAATATATGTGACTATTATTTGCGGACAAATGAATTGGGAATACTCATACTAAATGATTTAGTACCTTCATTTGTGAGGGGTCAGTGCTCTCAATAAAATCATCAGCACCAAGTCGTTGCTTGGCCTCTTTTTCTTTGGAAGGTGAGGTGCTAATGATGGTGACATAATGTCCAAACGCCTTAGCAAACTTAACGGCAACATGGCCTAACCCACCTAGCCCGATGATCCCGACTTTCTTGGGAGTGCCTGATGGTTCGAGCAATTTGCTGTCTTTCATGGGGCAGTACACCGTGATCCCAGCACACAACATTGGTGCTGCAGCATCCATTGGCAGGTTTTCCGGTACACGTACCACATACCTAAAAACATAGCATATGTTTAGTACAAATAAATCTGAACATCTTTAAATAAGTCACGTCCATAGTTGTTAAAATTCCAATCTGGATCTTACGATCCTCCGATTCTACGATCTAAAATTGCGTAATCGATCTGGATTTTTGGTAGGATCTTAAAGTTTGTAGGATCTTACAATCCTACTCCGATATTAATTATGAGTCGTAGGATCTCAACACAATCCTACGATTATTTTACAATCCTATCCAACATTTCACTATAATATGAGACTTTAATTTATTTTGACATATTTTTTATTACTCATTAGGTTATATGCACCTAAAATTTAATGTATCCAATAACTATCACTAATAAATTAGCGAATCCAAGATATTAATATGATTTTATCAATTGACAACTTGCAATTATCATAGTTAAGGTCTCATTCTTGACAAATTTGCACATAATTTATCAATTTAAATTTGTGTCATTAATCTTCAAACTACCATACAAAGCTAAATGAAGATCGACATTTCTTAAGCAAACCAATGTCTTTTAGTATTGAAACCCCTTAGAAAAAATGTTTTTAAGTCAATTTATAGCATAATATATAATATTATTTGTTATTAAGTAGGATCTTACGATCCTACAATCCGATCCCACCCCCCCTCCCAATTGATCCAAGATAGGATCCCGATCCTAACAACCTTGGTCACGTCTTAGGGTCATCGCTAAGAAGAATAGTAACAAAAATAGAGACTTGTAACATTTTAAAACCGACAATTTAAGTAGCATTAATATGGCTTTATTGAGACAAACAAAGCAATTTTGGTAGTACGATAATAAAATAAATAGGACGCACCTTTGGTCCGCAACCATCATTTTGGAGTATCCTCCACAAGTAATGCTACCATCCCAAAAAATACCATTGTAAGTGAACTGAATTTGATCACAGTAATTCTCCTGAGAAGTCTTGCAAAATTCACATTCCAAGCACGAAGCTGCTAAACAACCAACTCCAACTTTGTCTCCCACCTTGAACTTTGTCACGTCCTTCCCAACCTTTGTAATTAATCCCGTAATTTCATGCCTATTAAACACCATATAAATGTAAGTTAATTAGTGTTACAAAATAATTAGCATACTTAATTGTTAAAAAATTAAATAGATGAACGTAAATTACCCAGGAACACAAGGGTACATGGTGATTCCCCAATCATTCCTAACATGGTGGAGATCGGTGTGGCACATTCCGCAGTACAACACTTTGATTGTCACGTCATTCACTCCATTTTCCCTAATCATGATTAAAATTACAATTAATTTCATTGGTAAATAATCACAACATATAAAGGACTTTATGGTCATATCAATATAGATGTAATATCATGAGCCGCCCATAAAGTCCTTTGATTGGGAGTTGTTTGAGCCATTTGTATGTAATATCTATGCAAAAACAAAGGAGGCAATTTATGTGTTGCTGTAATAAGTTATGTTGTTGAAAGTATGAGGATTGTTGTGAATTAAGTGTGAAGTAATATGGGTTTATATATAGGAGCAACCAAGTTGTTGGATCGGATGTGTGAAGTAAATTCACGGAAAAAGCTACTGAAAATTCGTTAATACAAGCGGTACTATATTGTATAGGGGGGCAGTTGGTCGTTATAACTATGTGAGTAGTAGCATTGTTAGTATTACTTCCTATGTAATTTCTATGAAAATTAATTTTGAGGACCTTTCCAACGACTTATTTTGTGAGGAAATAATAATTAAATTTCATTTATTAATACAGCCAAATGTGAATTGGCGTCACCTACTCAACTAGTTGGTAGAAATTCTATTTACTTTATTTTGAAATATCTCAACCACCATTAATTTTCAATTTTCAAGTAGACTTCTTATGCAATTGACCAAAGTCATAAGTCATATTGAACACTAGTAAAGTATTTATAGGAATAGAATTAACCATCATTCGACTTAGTTATTTTTGATTAATTTTGTCGAATGGACTTGTCTAATCTTATAATCAAATTGTATTTCACGAAACTATGTTAAAAGTATTTTAATTTGTAACTTACTAAGTAAAAGTTAGTAGATATAGTGCTTTGATATTGATAAGAATAATGCATAATAAGAGTTTACATGTATATATTGGAGTATTTTTGATATTTTAGTTCACCATCACAACACTCTATTTACAATTGATATTACAATTGAAGTTTCTTCTTGATAACCTACATCATTCAGGTAAAGTACCTGGGAGTAATTAAAGGCCTTTTAAAAAAAAACTCCTTTTCTCTACCTACCTTAAATTTCATTAAAATAATTAATATTACCAAAATTTTCCAATCAAAATCATTCAAAAAAGGAAATATATCTATAGTTACCATCCATATATCATTTACAAATCAGTGAAAAATGGAACAAAATCAATTTATTTATTTATTTATTTATTTATTTATTTTGTGCAGGGGTAATAAAACCTCTTCTATGATATTCTATCAACCTACATTAATTTTCATTCCAATAATTTATATTACCAAAAATCTTCCAACTAAAATATTCAAAAAAGAGAAAAATTTCTACAATTATCATCCATATATCATTTAAAATAAATGAAAAAAGAATCAAAATCAATTAAATATTATAAATAATTTAGTTGATCCATGCTATATACACAAGTTTTGAGTTTTTGACTACTCGTAGTAATAACTAGTTTAAATCCCGTGCAACACACGATTTTTGCTAATGTTAATTCAAGACAAAAAAAAAATTAAAATATACTACTCAAATATATCAAATTATTATATTTAAGTGTATTTGGAAATGTAATTAATATAATTTTCAAAATGAAAGGACAATATTCAAGTTACAAACAAATTAACGGAGGGAAAATTTTCAACCTAGAGATGACATGTGTCCCTATAGATTTCGCTTTTATGATAAAGTTATTGATACTCCTTCCATTTCCTTAAATTCTATATGTATTTCGTTTTGGGCGTTCATCTTTGAATTTATACTTTTAAATTAAAAAATTGCTATGTAGTTTCTTTATCTTTAGTTAAATGGAACCCTCATGCTTGACCTTATTGGCAGTTTAAGTATTTAGGCTCTGTTCACTTCGATCACCTTATTTTTGTTAAACTAAAATTTTTGTTATTAAACTGAAATTATTGTAAATGAACTTTTCAAACCGAGGTTGAAGAGAAGGGAGAAGGAGAGATCTCTACCTCTGATAAGGGAGAGTTGGCTCTGTATTTCCACCATATCTCTTTCCATACCCAAAAGTCAATGCTCAAGAAGTTGGACAAATTCAAGGCCGCCCATGTAATGGGAGACGACTATGAAATGTACCCGAGTTGGATGACACTGTCGTCTGGCCGCATGAGTCTAGCTACGGGGATCAATGCTTCAGATGTTAAGAAGCGGCCATACAAGCGGGCCTTAGGTTCCCTCTCCATCCGGCTGTGGAGAAAATTCTTGACGGATATCGCTTGGGTATCTGACAACTTGCCCCCAACGCTTGGCTGAACATATTGGGGTATGTTGCCGCATGTGAAATGCTTAAGGTAGAGCCGAGCTTCGAGGCTTTTGCTGCGATGCACTGCCTTAGCAAGGCTCCTAAGGCAACGACTGGTGTAATACTCCGTATTTTATAATATTTATGTATATATAAATTATTTAATTTATTTATTTTAGTTATAAATTAAAATGATTCATTTCATTTTAAAATGAATTAATTATTTAAATGTATAATAAGTGCGTATAAATAATATGAGTTATTAATTGGGGCAATAAAGTGTTTTAAATTGGGTCAACATCAATTAAATTGTTAGATCAACTTGTTGGAAATCAAAGAAAACTTAAGAGCCCAACAAGTTGGCCTAAGAGGAGAATTCAAGAAGGAGTGGGATTAGTAATGACAGTTTTGTAAATAGGTGTTTTTGTTTTAAAACAGGGGATATAAATACCCCTAAACCTCAAGAATTTAACACCTAAGAATCAAATTGTCAGATTTTACAAAACCTCAAATTTTTCCTCTTATTTTCTCTCTCCTTATTCTCCTCTCTTTCCCACGCCTCTCTCTCTTCTCTCTTCCTCACGGCCGACGACCACCACAAGAGCCACCACCGGCCACCAGCCACGCCGGCGACCTATGCCACCATCGGCCACCAACCGTCTCTTTTCTCTCTCTCCTCCCTCCTTGCGGTTTGGTAAAAGAAAAAAAAACTCTCTTTTCTTCCTAATTTAATTTCTAGCTTGTTTTAATCAATTCAAAGCATGATTTTGGTTATATTTTGACGTTGATTTTGGGTAGTTGATGTTGTTAATTTATTCCTATAATTTTTAGATTTTAATTTAATCAAAAACCTCAATTTACAAACCCTAGAATTTGGGAATTTAATGGTTATGATTAGGGTTTGATTCTAGGTTGTTGTGGTTGTTGAATTAATGATTAGAACATGTTTTTAATGAGTTTTAAACCCTCAATTAATGCTGAAATTTAATTATACACACTACTTTTTAATTATTATGTTAGGGTTTGATGACCCATAAAAGGAAAAAGGTTCTTGATGATTTAAATATGATTTCCTAGTCCGTTAGTGATGTTTTATATTAAATAAGTATACTGGAATTTTATTATGTCAAGAAAACTAAGTCTTTTTGAAAGGATTTAAAGTACCCACTTAAAGAAAAGGTTTTAAGGATTTTAAACCATTAAATTGGGTTAATTAGTGAAGTTTAAAGTATATTATAGTTGCTGAAAATTTGTGAGATGAATAGTGGATTAATTATAGTTATGTATTTTTATTTGTAGGAAGCTTTGAGCTTAGTGATTTCTAGTGAGTGTGGTCGAGTTTAGGCATTAGTCAAGGTACGTATGCGCATAAAAAAATTTGTGTATGCGTAGTATCATGCTAGTATTGTAAAGTATGTTTCAAGTGATGAATTAGTAGCTTGTTTGGTTGATTATATGCTTGAATTGGATGTTGGTTGATCATGAATTACTATGCAAGCAGGTGAACATGTTATATGAGGCATGATACAAGTTGAATATGTATGAATCATGGAAGTATGTTTTATTTTCAAGTATCGCAAGGAAGCATGAGTTTAATAAGCCTTGTTTATGTATGTTTGAAAGAGCTAAAGTTAGAATTATTGAGCATGATTCATGATTTTATTTCTCACCCATTTATTATTGGAGTTGAGTCAAGAAGTTAGTTTATTTACTTACTCACTCATGTAAGTTGAGATTGAGTCAAAGAAGTTTATTAGTGCATCTTATGCACCAGGTAGCAATAGTACAATTTTGTGCACAAAACTAGGCAAGGAACCTTAACTATAATAAACTGTATGTGCTCACAAATTAATTCAAGAATTAAATTGAGGTGTGTGTTGATGATTGTTGCATTGTATTCTTGATTGATTGGTTGGAGTCATCACAAGTTAATTTAGTGAATCACGTAAAGTGTAAGAGGATACGCACCAAAACTCTTGGAACGTATACACCTGAAGTTATGGGGTTTTATATTTAACCATAGCTTCTAAGGGGTACAGGACGCTGTACTTTCTTTTATTATTAATGTGCGGGAATTCCATCACAAGGTGACATAGTAGGTGCCAATTGGGGTAGCTCCCTAATTGGAAGCTCAATATTAAATGGGCTATTGTTAGGGAAGGAAACCCGTTCGATGCGTAATCCAAAGCTATATATAAATAATTAATATTGTTAGTTGTGAGTCAAAGGTAAGTTGACTTGTGAATTGTATGGCGAGCATGTTTTATTTATTAAAGCTAGGATATTCATGTTAGTGTGGTACATATGTACTTAGCTTTTGCTGATTCGTACTTTTGAGTTTGTGTTTGGTTATCCTTTGGATCGGTCCTTCTATGACCCATTTATATGGTGAGTAGAGGGGTCGAAATAAAGAGAAAGTGATAGGTACTTGAAGCATGAAGAGCATGAAGGAAATGAGTGTAGAGAGTTACTTGTTATGCTTTCTTAGTTTTATTTATTGAATTGTTGATTATTATTTATGGACTAACATTGTTATGACTTATTTTTAATTTGTTTTTGAAGGGCTATAATTATATTGGTTCCAACTTGTAGATGTTTTATTTAACTTATGTTTGGAGGTTGTGAACTCAGGTTATAAGTTATTTTGAAAAGTTGATTTTTAGTTTTAGACTTCCGCTTTGTGACTTTGAAAATAGCCTTAGCCGTTATCACGATGGCCATAATATTTTAGTTATTTCCTAAAATGAGTTTTATTTAGAGTGAAAAGAGTAATTTAAAAAGGAGGAAATTTCCAGGGTATTACAGCTGGTACATGTTGACCACTCACAAGGGGTACATGATAACCGTTTGTAAGGAGTCTAAATGGAAAGATTGGCGAAACAAGTATGTCATCATCTCTTCACCGGATGCCGAGAGGAACCGCAAGTATAACTCCTGGAATCAAGACCCTTATCTCTTAAGAAAGAAGGCGCCTCTGCCGCTTGTCCCTGAGAAGGGTTGGGACCAGATCCTTACACCCTGCCTTTTCAAAGTCACAACTTTGAACAAAAAGAAATAATCTCAA